ATAATTTTGATTTAGATAGAAACTATGAAAGATTAATAGAGCCCAATGAATACTTATTCATTAAGCTCTAGTTAGATTTTTTTCTTAATAGATAGCCAAAATAGTGAATTAAATCAGAACAGATTGAAGTACTATTAATTAAGATGCAATATTATATTTGAAAAATAGATTAAATAGATTAATAGAACCCCCAAAATTCTTAGTAAAGTTTTTTTAAAAAAAATTATTTTAAGTCAAATTTCACTATAATTTTTAAAAATAAAACAAAATAAAACAAAAATTTTATTAATACTAATTATTATAAACTTTATTTTAATAAAAATTAATATTTATTATAATTATTGTTACAGATTAAAATAAAATCAGATTAAAATAAAATTAGAGACCTCTCTTGCTTACTCTTAAAGCTTATAAAATCCATATATACTCTTTTATTAATAACCCTAATTCTAAATCTGACCTCTAATACTAAAAAAAACCCAAAAAATATTCTCTAAAATTTTAAATTTTCTTGAAAATTAAAAATTTTCATTTTAATCTGATTTTATTCTAATCCATTACAATTATTACTATATCAGTATTAAATTTTTTGAAATGATTATATAAAACTAGTTGATAATACTTAGGAGGTTTTTTGACATATTATATAATTAAAAGCCTGCTATATTACTAGTCAGAAGGGCTGATTCTGTCAAATATTCTATAACATGCTTAAAAGTTTGAAATTACATGTTCCTTTTGCAGCACTCATATATAGTATTAAAATCTTATTAGCTATTAAATGCAATAGCCAATCATATTTTAGATAGTCATCAGTTTAACCAACACAATTTAGTTTCATCAGCAACTCTAGTTTAAATAGAGGATCTACAGATAAATCTTAGGTTTATGGACTATTTTGATCTAGTCTGATCTGATCATTATAATTTATATTTTTATAAGAAATTTAAACATATTCAGGCCAATTTAAACTAAACTAGTCTTAAGACTGAGAGAAAATTAATTTTCTTCAGATACGAACAGGTCTTAAGACTAATTAACAATTCGAATTGGGCCAAAGTTTTATATATTATTTATCAAATATTTTTCTATAACATACAAAATTTGATGCTGTTTGAACTACCGGTTAACAAGAAACCGATTATATAAAATTTTCATTTTAACTAATTGATTGGTTAAATCTTATCATAATTTTCTCAACAACAAGTAATCCAAATTAAGTCAAATTTCTATATATTGTAGAAAGAGATTTGTCCTATAATATATAAACGTTTTGTTTAATTTGAGCCACTGGTTATTGAAAAACTTGATATAAAATAGTTTATAGGTTCATGAATTACAAAGATGCATTTAAAAAAAAAAGCAATTAGCAAATTTTCTTGATTATTAGCACCAAATTTTAGTAATATATAATAAATATCTCATTTTGATATGCAAAAATTCGATGTTGTTTAGATCACTAGTTGTCAAGAAAAAAGTTAAAGCTTGAAAATTTTATATCATTCTTTATATTAATTATCTCAATAACCAATAATTCAAATTATGCAATTTTTTATATATTGCAAAGAAGCATTTGTTATATAATATAGAAATTTGGTTCAATTTGGATTACTAGTTTGTTGAGAACTTAACAGTTACGGTTAGTGATGGCTGACGAAATTGACGAAATTTGACGAAATAAGTATTTCGTCAATTTCGTCACTATGAAAATAATTTCGTCACTTATAATTTCGTCAATTTCGCCACCCATCTATAGTTACGGTTTAGCATTTCCAATTTTTTTTAAATTTATATATATATAAATCAATTTAAGAAACAATCGTTATAGAAATAAATAATAAAACTTTAATATTAGATAAAATAAATAATGAGCTTTTTATCAATAAAATTTAATCACTTCCCATTAGCACTTATTGCAATATGCAATTTTTTATCACCTACATTTTTTTCGTAACATAGTGTAGACTGCCTAACATTCCTGGTTCTCTTTATTACAATTATGTAGTTTTTTCGAGGACGAATAATAATTGTTTTAAAAAATTTTATTTTATTGAATAATTATTCCCACTAAATTTGTAATGCTTTGATTAAGAATTTTTCCACAAATCTTGTATTGGTATGGCACCGCACTTTTGAACTACTTCTAGGGACATGTTTACAATTTTTTCATGAAGTTCATCAATTGATTGTCGACCATCTAATATCTAGTAATTAAAATTTTTTGAATTAGCATTAAAAAAATAGCATCTGTCTTAAAAGTACGTGCCTAACCTTCCATTCTGGGCCTGTCAATGATAAATATACATTTCTTGCCTTTACTTGAATCTCACTTTTGTCAAACCTTTCACTACCAAATCCATCCCTTTTTTCAGTCTCTTCCAACGGAACGTCCATGAAAAAGACAATATCTGGTGATGGTAAACCAGTATATGAAGATTTACACCAATTTAAATCTAAACCCTCGATTAATGAGTATATTAATGATTTAATAATTTAATCCGAAATGATAATAAATAATATAACTTACCTTAGCGGTTAAATATGCAACACCGGTATATGCGTATCGATCCATAACTAATGTTTTACCATTGAGGATAGTATTTTTCAAATGTGATCTATAAATGAACTACTATATAAGCAGTAATGTTTACGAAATTTAGTACTACTAATTTTTTCAGTAAATAACATTACTCCTGTTCCCATAAGTTTGCTGATAATAAAAAATGAAATGCTTTGTCGCATAATTCTACATCATTCTTTAAATAATCATCAATTATTGGTCCTAATGGTTCTATACTTCTCGCTATAACATAAAATACGTTAATTATATATGTTAACAATTTCAAAGCAACATTTATTATTATACCTGGAAATTTCCCTTTGACCGCTGTGAATCCATGTTCATTTAAATATTTAACAAGTTTATAGAATATATGCAATTAAAGAATAAT